ATAAGAATAATATATTCTCTGCTTGTTGCGTTTTAAATAAAATATATCTGAATAGTTATAAAGAAAGAAAATAAACAGACTTGGAAAAAAGAATTGGAATATAACCATGTTTGTTCCCGAAATAGGTATTTTGATATATATATTGTGTTCCTATATATATATATATGATGCCCATGCATACAGCTTGCTATATTTTAGATTCTGTTATTTGGATCTATACCTCCTCCGGAAAATCAAAATTCCGAAATCACAATTGAACAGAGAAATTTCCGTTAGAAATTTAATAGAAACTTATAAAAATTTTAATAAAAAAAGAATAAGATTTTTTTTTCTTTCGAAATATATTGATATTTGTGATCAAATTACAAGATTCAATATTTGATTTTTATCTTGTTTTTTTCCGATTTTTTTAACTCAACAAATGTGATAATATTCTTCCATTTTTAATATTTGATTAGATAAATTTATTATACCATTTAAAAGAAATTAACTTTAATAAATTATAACCAATTGTGTATTTTATGTTTTATCAGTTTTTATCTTCTTAGTTTCCATTTGTGGAAAAGGCTGTTATTTATTTATTTATTTATGAAAACAAATAATTTCATTTGACTTTTCAAAATATATTGGATGTGGGATGAAATAAAGGCAATTAGTAGAATAACTCAAAATATTAATTAATTATCCATTAATTTTTAACTAAACTCCTTCTTAAATTAAATTTATTTTGAGTAATTTTTAAACAAAAACTAGTTGAAACTGGCTTGAATGAGTAATATAAAAATATGTTGTTGTTTTCTTTAACTACTCTCATTGGTAATTTACATTAGGTGAAAGAAAGTGAGTTAAAAATTGATATATATTACATGTTTTTGATGTATCAGCAATTCGTTAAAATTTGCATTTAGTGTCAATTACTGTAAATTTGTATATAATTATAACCCGTTTTTATTAATTATACATTAAATAAACATCAGTTTGTAATAATATTCATGTAAAAAATATTTAAAAGGGAAAAATAATATTGTTTGTTAGTGTGTTATCAATTCATAGTGTAGCAGATAGTATAGTTTGCAATTCATAGACGTATGGGCATGCGTCTATGAATTGTTTTTATTAAAATTATTAAAATGTGTCTTATTTATCTTTTTACAGGGAATAAAGCTGATTAAAATAACTGAAGCATCCTCTTTGATACTTAAGTCAAAAAATTGATGTTAAATGTCATGTTTATTGATTATTGGGGGAAAAGTGAAACAATTTATATATTTGCAACGAATTATTTTTTACCTGATATATTTCCTTCTTTCTACTTTGTGAACGTTAATTTTAAATTACTTTGATATTGCATTTTTTTCCGTTCTCTTTGTTATTAAAAATATTACTAACTATTTTTCTTTGCGAAAATGAAAATTCTAGATTTTGATAGTCTAGCTTAAATTATTTTAATTTATTTTTTCATATACTTATTGTTATCTATATTTTATTATTATTTATATATACCCACTTTTTTTGAAAAATAAAACTATTTGTTATTTATATTATAATTATTATTTGAAAACATCCTTATAAATTATTATGCCACATTGTTTATTAGATTATTTTAGCTTCCCTTTTCAATTCTTTACTAGGCTTTCTCCTAGCAGTAATTTGTCTATCATATCCAAGTACATCGAATTCTGATAGTCAACACTTTTCAAATCATTCAGATTGTATAAATCTGGGTTGAATATATAATTTTGCTGAATGTTTCAGATTTTTTCTTCGTTTTCTTGAAAACATCAACAACTTGTATCCTAATTATTCGGATTCAAAATCTCAGGGATAAATTTTAACACAAATATTTCTTCCTGTTCAACTACAAATTGGTATAGCAATAAATCAAGAGTTTTATTGTATTTTTGATTCTGGTTTGCTATTGAATACAATTCCTAATTATTCCCCCTAATGAGAAAACGTATCTTAATTCCTCAATTTAATATTGTATCCAATGTTCCACTCCCAATTGCTACCCTTTAAAACACCAAAACACACAGTCACAATCCCTTTTCATTAAAAATTCCTTAAATACTTTTGGTGTACCGTAGAATTAAATAACTCATGACAGAATTTGTTGTTCTTACTATATTTATTGTTAACTTTCTATAAACATATACATTTCAAATTCGAAAATTTTTCAGGAATTTTTTTCATTTAAAACTAATAGTTTAAGGTATCCGACTACGTTCGGAACCGTGATTCTAAAAAAAGCACATAAATGCATAACTTTCATGATATTTAGTGTCACTTAGATTAGAATACACGTATAAAATTGTTTTAAGGACATTTTGACAAAAAAACATTATTTAAATTCAATATTACGGCAAAAAATTAACTTAGAATAGCCTTTTTTCAAAATGTTCTCCTTTTGTGAAAAATGGTTCTATTATAATAATATTTTGCTGTATATAGCTCAGACCTCTGTACAGAGGCTCAACTATGATCTTTAAAAAATTCACATTATTTTCAGAGTTACAATCAATTGAAATAATTATCGGCGTTTTTTTGTTAAAATTCTCCCCTCTGTTCTCATAAAACATGGATAACCCTACTTCTAAGTTACATATTTCAAAATTTCTAGTTGAGCCTCTATACAGAGGCCTGAGCTATATACAGGCAAAATATTATTATAATAGAAGCATTTTTCCCAAAAGGAGAATATTTTGAAAATGGATCATTCTATGTTCATTTTTTGTCAAAATATAATACTTAAATAATTTTTTATTGTAATACTATTCTTAGAACAATTTTATATACATTTTCTAAGCTAAGGGACCCTAAATATCATAAATATTATCCATTTATACGCTTTTGCAAAATCACGGTTCTGAACGTAGTCGGATACCTTAAAATATCAACCGAAATTTTAAGTATCCAAGTTATTCAGTAATATTCAAATAACAATATCATGGTAACAAATATTTAACTATATGCTAACGGCTAAAATCAAATCTTGGCTTTCTTTTAGGATATGATGTTTGTAACAGAAGTAAAAACGTCCGACTTTAAAATGTTTTTATTATACTTTTAATTATGTAAATGTTTTAAAAAATTGACTTTTATGTACAATGGACCACAAAAGTGTTCGTAAACTTGCGATTTTCTATAAAATTTAATGTTTTCAACTATGTATACCTCGGAATTGTAATTTTTTTATATTATCTTCAATTTGTTCTTGTGTGGAGTTGTAAATCGGCTTCAGGACTAGGAAATTAGGTATTTTTTGATGATGTTGTAAATCATGAGCTCTATTTAAATATTTTAAATGACACTTAATTTATCCGCCCAAAATTTGGGTGTTGGAAATGATTTTATTTTTTAACACGATGACTCCAAGCGCACTGCTCTCAATGTATACCACTGTTGTCTCTGTAACGGTCCCCAAATCCTGAAAATATCTCCTAAATCACTTGATTTAAGTCTAGTGGAGCATATGAAGTGAGAATTTGATTTTAAAAAAGAAAACATGAAACATAAAAACAAAATGTGAAGTAAAAATAATTATCACAGAAGAATGGAGGAAAATCGATGCAAAAATTACAAAAAGATGAGGAAAACTACACCAAGACGTTTAAAAGTTGTTGTGGACGCTAAAAGATATCCTTCTGAGTACTAAATTAAGACACAAATAGAATATTTAAAGCTATGTTGAGGTTTTTTTAACCGTACGAAGACTTGTGGCGTAATTTTTTGGTAGTTTTTTGATTATTAATTTTTCAAAATAATAGTTATAATTTGTTTTAAAAAAACGATTGTAGTATTCTAATAAAAACAAGTTGAAGATATTGAAAAAATTACAATTTCAATATATTAATTTTTATTAGTCGAAAATATTAAATTTCACAGAAAATCGCAAGTGTACGAACACTTTTGGGATTCACTATATGTGAAAAAATACCAAAACGTTTTATTTATATTTAAAATAAATTTTTGGAAAATAAATTTTAAAAAACGAAATAGATTTCTGACAACTGTTATGAGTCATTGCATGATAATTTCAAAACATCTTTTTAATAAATAATGATACTTAATACGCTATTACATGAAATTAAAAAGAATAAAAATGTAGTTAGTGAAAATATAATACTATTGAATAAGAAACAGGATAAAAAAACTAGGCAAAGGAAATTCGTTAACATCTTTTTATCCGTCATTTTTTATTAAAATGTAAATCTAAAGAACATAAAGTGTTCATTATTTCTCTTTCTAGGTGATAATTCCTGTTTTCAGTCAGCATAAAAGGAGCTAATTACACGCTTTGCGTGAGAAGATGCCATCAAAAGAAATCAAAAGAAAAAGAACATAGCGGGGTGAAGACAAAAAAAAAAAAAAGCAAAAAGTCAAGAAGGAATCCTGATTGATACCGCTATGCCCGACTTGCAGTAAGACACGACTTGCCCTGTAACGGATATCACGAATCAATTTAAGGTGACAGATTGCCAGCAGAGGAACGCCTTCTCAACTCCACTCGAAGATTAAGAATCCCAAATTTCCCACCAAAAGCCGAGATTGCTCAACAAAATTTATTGCTTCGTTAATAATGGGTTCATTAAGTAAATTAATGAATTTTGAGTGAATTTTTTATGATATTTTGCGTAACATTTCTTCGTGGAAATGTTAGAAATAAAATAAGCGTAGAAATAAAAGTTAGAGAAATATTGATTTGACGATGGATTGACATCTCATACATTCAAGAGATTTTTCAATTCCTACTATTAGTTCACACTCTCCATGTATATATTTATTTATATATCTTATTCAAATTTTCAACCGTTTATAAAATACGTTTTATTCATCTAGTCAAGTTCAAATACAATTTTTCAAACTTGTAGTGCATGACACTTGATGTTAATACAGTTTTTTCAAATATTAATTAATTAATTAAATTGAAAAATGAATAAATAGTAACAAACAATAATAATAGTTCAACAGCTTATATGTAAAGGATAATCGTTCGCTGTGTCCCTGTAGCGCAATGGATGGCACGTTGGACTTCTAATCCAAAAGTCGTAGGTTCAAATTCCACCTGGGATGATCTAATTTCTGAGAATGTGATTTTTTTTACTATACTATTTTATTAGAATAATTAAATTTAGTGAATGAATAAATAGCAACAAACAAAAAATAGTCCCAACACCATGTATAGAAAGGAAAATCGCTTTCTATTTTGTCAGTCAATATTGTGATTCTGTCACATGTATATACATATTTATATTAATTGTAACTATATAATAAAAAGTAACTAAAATAAAATTTTCCTTTGTTTACCTAAGTAGGAATTGACTTAATTTTTTTTATATTACTTGTTTCTTAAATAAGTGGAAGTACTGATACTCAATCAAGAAATCCAAACCTGTGCATTTTGTCTTACACGACCGCGACAACAATAAAATGTATTATAATGTTAATTAATTATACTTTACTTTATTTTGTAGTTTCATTTTAAGTGTACCAGGACATGCTTGAAGGAGTAAAATGCCAAAAATAAGACTCTTTGTTTATGGGGCATATATCTTTAAAAATTTCCCAATAGATCTTAAATTTTTTTTGTAATTTAATATAATAAAGATATTTTAATCATTCTGTGGAAATACAAAAATAATTTTTAAGTTAAAAAAAAATTCTGTCAAATTTAAGTTGGACATAATTTTTGAGACCTCATAATACATGCTTATGTTTAGGTGCCGTTTTTTAAAAAAGTATCTCTTAAATATGTAAAGCAGTATATACAACAATAATAAATATGTTTTGCAGATATATACAACAATACGCAAAATATAGTAAACCTATTTTTTAGTAAAATATGTAGACAGTTTCTTTAAAAAAAATTTATAAAACTTTGCAACTTTGAAAGTATCTATTCCCCCCCCCCTTTTTCATACATAAAACTATTTTTTAAAGAATGGACTAAATTCATGTGACGTCACGATTACGTGATTCCGTCAGCAGGTGAATATTGCGTCATTTGTTTACTACTAATGCGTACGATTATTTTGTTCTTAAACATTTACATTTTACTTTATATATTATATTGAATTGTTTCTATCTTATTTGCAATTCATTGTGCTACAAAAATAAGATTTATTTTCATCAATGGATAAATATTTATTATTAATCAAAAACTTTCATACTGACTCTATCTAATATGAGATAAACAATAGCTTAAAGAAGTATGTAATTCAATAAGAAATTAAATTGAATTTGCGGAAATTATATAGCACTTTTTCTGATGAAACATTCCTTAATATTCTGATGAAACATTCCTTAATATTATACAATAATTTAAAATAAGTTGTTCAACATGTTATAAACACTTTATACAAAGTATTGAATTTGTAATAAAAAATTTTAATATAGTTCATACTCGCATTAATAATCTGGATTTGTGATCAGGTGTCGCATATCCACGCATAATATTTAGTAGCCGAGATATAAAGGTGAAGTCTCCAATAGAAAACTATTCAGTTCTGCATAACATTGTACTTAACGAGTAAAATTACAAACACATGTTTATTTATAAACATAAGATAATATAGCAAGGGCATTTAAGCCTTCTGTACACATGCATGACTGAAAGTAACTCTTTATTAATTTTAATACGCTGAAAGAAAGAACTCTTAGCCCTTGCTATAGTAACTGCAACTTAGAGAAAAATATAAAAACAGTTAATACATGTAGAAATTACTCATTATAATTATCTAGTTAATTATTATCCCTGATTATGCACTTTATATGTAATTCAATAACTCGTAATAATGGATAATCATATTCCATTGAATATTTCTTAAAAGTTATATATTAATATGATTCATTTCTTTAACTTAATAGTGAAATAGTATATTTTCTTTTATTACTTTATACAATCATTTCTAAAAAAAATTTCCAAACATTTTTAAAGGATAATTACTAAGTAAATCAGACAGTCAAAGATAGAAATGTTACTTTTATTAGAAACATTTTCAAATATCTTTAAATGCTTCATAATATTGTACAATACATATATATATATATATATATATATATATATATATATATATATATATATATATATATATATATATATATATATATATATATATATATATATGAAGTAGTTATACATTGTACGCAATACATTGTGTAAATGAAAAATTCATTTTCTTCAAATAACTGTTCCACAGTGAATTCATTTGAATTTTAAGTGTAGGTAGGCAAACTTTTGAGTAAATATAATATTATACTTTTTAGAAAATTGTTATTTTTCATTTCTAAATACTAAAGTACGTACTGGGAGAAAAAAAGAGAAAATTCATGTATAACATTATTAATAAATATAAATTCAGACCTGTGGGAAGAACAGGTTTACCAGCTAGTTGCATATCAGTACAAAGGAAAAAGTTTAAGATCTTCCTATAGTATTGATAAATAAAACCAAAATTACAGGATTATTTCGAATGTCTGACACTTATAATGTTTCACATTGTGTGTTTAATGTCCCCATTGGTAAGCCATACTATTATAAAATTTGCAATTCACGAAGTTGTAAAAAAAATTCATTTTCATCACAGGAGACATATATATGAATCTTATACTCATATCCATAATTATCTTTACATGCATAATACTGACTTTTCAGGAATTAAACTATTTTAAAGATTTGTGCAAAAAAGGAAAATAGTTAAATCATGGATAAACAAATACTTTTTAAGTAGCCACTGAGATTTTTAAAAAAATGATGGAAAAAATACATTTCTACCAAAAGATAATTCTTTACACCTATCTAAAACTTGCATATTAACTAATGTTCTATGATCACAGGCTTCAAGAAATAAACTTTTTTGCAAGTTTGATATGTACTTCAAAAAAATAAGTTAATAACATATCAAATTAAATGTAATCATTTCTAGAAATTGTTACCCCTTTTGTAATGATTTCATTCCCCTTAAGAATATTTTATTTTAATTTAAAGAAAGAAATGACATTAATTTTTAACAGCAAAGGATAATTATAAATAATTTAGAAGTCGATAATTTGTGGAAGGTATAAAAATCAAAGAAACATTTCTTTAGTTTTTGTAAACCATTCCTCCCACAAATTATCATCACATTGAAAAAATTCAAAATAAATATTTTCTCTTGACATTGAACTATTAATTAAAATTACGCAAACAGACATTTTTTATATTATTCACACCTAACTGACACTGTGTTGTATAATAATAGGAGGGGGTTCTTTTTAAGGAAATGATACCATTGTTATTCGATAGTCATACAATTTTAAAAAAGTAGTTTTGATTCTATACTGTCAACCATTCTTGCCCAAAACTATACAATAAATAACTACTAAATTAATAAAGAACTAAAATAACTAAGAGTCAAACCTAAGTGTACCAAGAACTATAAATAAATGCTACGATGAAACCTAAATTAATATGCCAGCTAACACTAGTCGAAGCAGACAACTACCTAATTAGATGAATAAATTAGAATGAAAAACAATTATATAAAACAGTTGTTAAGATTATTTCCTAACAAATATATATTCTAAAATAATACAAAAATACAATGATATCATATTTTAATTAGATAAAATTAAGATACAAGAATGTCATCAACATACATATAGGAAAACCCATGCTATGAATAAACACGTGCGGATATTGACGCCGGAATCACGTGATTACTTATTTGGCGCCTGCCTGACGTGAAGTTAGTCCATTCTGTACTACTTCAACTAAAAAAAAAATATTTTCACTATTATGCACAGGTATCCTGAATAAAACATAAAAAATTTGGAACCATATAGTGCAGTAGTTTTTTTTTTAATATGTGCCTAAAAGCAAAAAATTACGCATTGGAGAAAAAGTGAAAAAATTAAACATTTATAAACGTTTGTTTAATTTTTGTCAATTACTTTCTTCATATTTTAAGGTTATTTTACCAACGAACATATAAGTTTTATGCAATTTTAGATTCAGAAAAATGTGCGCTTTTTTTAATACTAAAACTGAAAAATCGATTTTTTGAATGTGTATGATGACCTGGTTTCTTAAAGTTGTTTTCGTCATCTGAGCTATAGCTGAAACTTAACGCGGAGTACATTTTCAAAAAGAAAAAAATGTCTCAATTTTTATAAAAATTTGTGACATTGTAACTTATGTATTGTTTATAATATAGTTTTTTTTAATTTTAAAGTATTTCATAAATAATCAGTTTTTCCTTTTAACGTGTAAAGGGATAGCTCATTCAGCGTTACGGTATAGGAGAAAAATGCGAAACACATTTTATAAAAGAAAAAATGTGTCTACTCGGATAAAAACGAGCAGTATGATAAAATAAGTAATTCTCTCTACAGGATAGTGAAGCCAGAATATAATATTAATGTTTGAGTAATTTTTATCTGAAAAAATATTCCGAATTTGGGTTCAATTATTTAACATCAGCCGAACACAGCCTTAACAAATAAACAGCAGCATTTAAGAAAATATATTTTATTTTGCCAAATTTTATGTTTACATTTAAATTTTAGGACTGGGGTGAATACTACCCACAAGGAACGATTAACTGTTAACATTTCGCTTTGATTCATTGATTGAATATTAACGTCACACTGATCAGCTACACGAGGGCTTTTGGCGACGGACCACGTAATTTTGAACCATGGTCAAGTGACGTGGACGACACCTGAGTTGGCACCTCCCTCTCTTAACTACCACACCAATGGGAGGACATTTCAGCTCTCGACAGATTTAACGTGCATCGCTGCCCTACACGGCGAGTCTTTAGTGGTACTGGGCTCGAACTCGTGACAAGGCAAGGCAAGACACGGTCCGACACCTATACCACTCGTCTACCGTGGCCACTTAACATTTCGCTTAAGAAAGCTACCGGAATTAAGCAGAAAACATAGTGAATATTTTTCAACATAGTGGCGATTTTATGTAAAACTGAAAGTAATGTAACCACATCAGACTGATTGATGACAACACATTTTCTTTACATAAAAGGTATTTATATAAAATTTCACTGCATACATGCACATTGCCGATATAATCT